TTGCCGGAGAAACGGAGGACGCATTTGAAGTCGCGTTCGAATTGGGACAGCCTTCGTCGCGCCGTCATGACGCAATCGGCCTTCAAATGCGCACTACGAAGGACGTAGCCTATGAATTGGGACACAGCTAAGGTCTCTGCAGGACCTGATTTGCTCACGTCACAACAGTAAGGTTAGCAGTGAGGTTAGGCCGTCCTTTTCGTTGCATGATTTAAAAACACCCCACGCCTACAAATATAGAAACGGTCACGTTTATAGTTTTTATTGTATGATGTGACAAGTTGAACGGTGCGTGCTTTCCATACTGCACGGGGTGAGGTTCGCTTCTTCGTTTGAATACAGGCGTCAATTTGTTTTAAAAATCTGTAAGTAAAAGTTTCTGTCAAGTAGGCTAGCTTTAAGCAACATATTCTGCTGTGTGGATGGCAAAATGACAGAATTAATCAACCCTGGATCCTGATGTCGAGTAAGTGTTTTTTAATTAATTTTTTTATTCAAGTGACCTGTCATCCAATGATATCTTAAATGTTAATGGCAAACAGGTGGAAATTGTTAACTACATAAATTGTTAGCTGGTCATCTTGCAGTTTAGATCGTAAACTGTTGGTTGGAAGAATTTAAATGTTAATTGGCCTACAGAGCTGTGTAGTTATTTGTTTTATTGCAACAGAGTCTGGTTCTGGTTCATTGTTTTATTTATTCATTATTATTATTATTTTTTTTAGAACTTAAGCACACTCATTGGATGGACAAATTATTTCATATCAGGTGTGTTACCTTTAACTATATATGTATTTGTGCAAATTTTGTGATTGCTCTCTTAAGACAGTTAAGGGTTACGTTAGTCATCAGATCTTACACAGACATGAAGCAAATGCTCAATATCCATGTTGTTTCCCAGACTGCAAACTTAAGTTCACAAAATACAATGCTCTCAAAGCTCATGTTTATCGCCATCACAAAAGACAACAAACTCATTTGGATGATTCAACGGGCACGTTTGTTTGCAACAGTTCAAACTGTCAGCAGAAATGCCCAGACATAAACGAAGTCCTTTCTCATCTCAGGTCACATTTAGCAAAGGGAGAGGTGGTATGCTGTCCTTTTGAAAAATGTGACAAAATATTCAGTTTGAGATCAAGCTTTTCTGCCCATGTTTCACGAAAGCACAGGACTTCAACATTTGCGAAATTAAAAATCTCTTTCTCTGAACAACCTTCCTCAGCATGTTTTGATGTAACTGAGGATGGAGGTGATGAAAATGCATTCCCAGATTCGCTGACTAAATCTAACACCCAGTCATTGTACATGAAAAATCTTTGCCTGTTTTATATGCAGCTGCAAGCCAAATACTTGGTGCCATCGTCAACCATTCAGACGATTGTAGAGGAATTCAGTAGTTTAAATGATATCTGTCATCAGTACACAAAGAAAACGTTCGCAGACATACTTGGGTCAAAAACAACCCTTTCACAGTGTGATATTGATTCTGTTGTGCAGGCTTTGCAGGGCCATGATTTGCATTCAGCTTGTAATGCGTTACTTTCCACAGAATACCAAGAAGGCAGTATTACCAAAAAAACTTTCCCTACGTGCATCCACAGACTATGTATCTTGGCCGTGATGAGAACAGAAAACTACGTCATGCACAATATATTCCATTGAAGAACACTTTAAAAACCATGTTGAA